TTAAAAAAAAAAAAAAAAAAAAAACTTGTGGAAGTAACTTACTGTACCTTCTAATCACATTGCAAAAAAGTGCTGTTCTTCCTTAGTATTTTTTATCTCGTCTTCCAGTGCAAATGTCTAAAGATTCTTAAAGCAAGATACATTTACTGCAGAAGCAAAATTAAGATAATAAGTGTTGTTTTCTGAGAAACTGAAGTGGAGTTTATGATTAAAATGAGAACAAATATCTGCCAATGGGCTCAGAAAAATCAGCTTCATTCAAAGGGAAACAAGTGTTCATTCCTCACTGACAAATATTTGTTCTGGTTTTAAGCTTATACTCTAATTTTGTTCTTTATATCTTCATTTTGCATCTCAAGTAAATATATCATGATATAACGATGTTTAGATATTTGTATTGGAAAATAAGACAAAAATACTGGGAAAGATATTCATTTTTTGAAGTGAATTTACGAATTCATCATAAATTTATAAAGACTTTCTGCTCTGATTTAAGACCCTTTTAAGACTTTGAAGACCCACAGAAACCCTGAATGAAAACAGGAAAGACACTTGTTTTTATTGACAGTCTAAAGTTGATCCAGACAATGTTGTAGAATCATAAATGAACAGAATTAAATGAGTTATGACAGTTGAAATGTCCTGCTGAACAGGCAGAAACAGCTTAAAGCAACAGAACTCAAACACTGACAAAACAACTAAAAATAGCTAAACAAAACTAAAAGTCATTTTTAAAAGACAGAAATGCAAGTAAAAGTAAAAGTACTACCCACCAGCATTATTTTAGTATCACTGAGATATTATAGTTATAGTTGTTATTTCAAGAAGTGAAAATGTTTTTAATTCAGTTTCATATTTAGTTAACTATAACCTTGCTACTCTCCTGCTAAAAATAAAGATAAAACTGAAACTAAACAAAAAATAAACATACCTAATAAAATCTAATCTAGTTAAACTAGAAAGAGGTAAAAAGAGAATGTCTGTTCTCGCTGTTTTTCTCTTTGTAGTTTGAGGGTGCAAAGATGTGTGCAAAGTTGTTTTGTCAAAACACAGTTACACATTTGAAATGTGTTCTTTAAAATAAAATAAAATATGATACTACCGAGATCTTAAAATCATAATCTTCAATATGAATGATTGAAGTACAGTAATTAATAACATTATAAATGTCTTTACTGTCACTTTTGATCATTTTATGGGTCCTTGCTTAATGAAAGTATTAATTTATTTTTCTTCAAAAAAAAATGTATGCATGTAAATTTATTTGTGGTCCAAAGGCCACGTGGAAAATATGGGATTTAAAGTCTGTTTAAAACCTGGACATCTTTCAGACTGAGCTGTAACTAATCAAATGTAAGTTAATGAGTGTCTCTGATCACGTGACTCTTTGTACAGTCGATTTCCTGCTATTTGGAACATTCTCACATATATTTATCCTGCCCGTGTCTTCATGATGGTTTAAAGATCAGTCAGTGTGTGTGTGTGTGTGTGTGTGTATATGTGATCACCTCACAGCTCCTGAGATCTTGTCCCAGTCTCTTCCCCTGCCGTCCATCACAGTAGCAGCGGAAACTTCCTGCCGTGTTCACGCACTCTTCCTCACACACATCCGACTCACACTCGTCCACATCTGACCGCAACAACAGGAGCAATTCATGAGTTCAAACAGAGCTTACCAAAACACACTAACCATCATCAGAACACCCTGATTATAAACATCAGCTGAACATTTTCATCTCTCACAAATATGAAAACACAGCATTTATAAACCCCAATTTGAGAGTTTCATTCCTGACCCGCTCTATGTGTCTTTAAGAGTCAACAAGAACAGTGACCTGAAGTGAGACACACATATAATCTTTTGGATGACATTGTAGACGCTGACATATACGAGATCAGGAGGAGAAAATAGTGAACATGAATCTTCTGTTGAATTTCCAACTCTGATTGCAACAGTGTTCATGGGAATGATGGGAAGTTGTTTAAATGGATGAACCACAAATAAACAAGAAGAATGTTCCTTGGTCAACTGTGTAAAAACTGAAGTGGATCTTTTGAGCCGTTACGTAACCAGTTTCCTCTCAACATTTCTGACTAGGTGAAAAGTCACAAAAAAATGGATGTTCCCAAAAGCACATCATATAATGAGACTTGAGGCGTCCTGTGCTGAGACTGAGAGACATATAAGTGAGTACAGGGACATTATGATGAAATGATCAGCTCCTTCAGACTGATGAAGGACGCTACAATCAGGCCAGGGTTATTATAGTTAACTAAAACCTTAAAAGAACCTATTTTGTTACTTGAAATAAAATAAATGTTTACTGTATTAAAAAAAAAATGTATTTCAGCTATTTGCCAAGGCAAAATTTCTCATTTTCAATTAGTTTAACTTGATGACCTACAATAACTAAAACTGAAATAAAAATGAATGAAAACTACATGGACATTTTCTTTTGTTATCAGATAATTATTATTTTCTCAATTTCTTATTTTAATTTAGTTAAACATATATATATATTTAAAAAAAATTGACTAAACTTCAAATTTAACTTAAAATGGAAAATATTAATAAAAAATATAATAGAATATAAAAAAAATTCTCATCTTAAAATAAGCATGTGTGTGTTAGTCTGGTGACATGAGCGCTTGATCATGTAGTGCATTTGCTTTTGAGAATATATAAGTATCCAGCCTGTCGGTTATAAATATACTGTAGCTCTTTATAAGAGCATTAGCTCGCTGTATGGCCAGATCCTGTTAACTCACCTACACAGCTTTTGGTGATGTTGTCATAGACGAATCCCTCCTCACACAGACAGTCGTAGCTCCCATTGAGGTTTGAGCAGTGCGCGGATCCACACACATCTGGAGTCTCCACACACTCGTCCACATCTGTGGAAAAACCAGGAAATGCAGTGACATGTTCTGCTCATATGTGCAGTGATTCTACAGTCACTGCACTGCTGGACGATCTGATGTAATGTGATCATAAATGAGATGTACTGCTACTAAAGTCATTTTACTATGACAAATAATCTGGGTTTTCTTTCTGCAGTTTTCATTCTGGAGGAGAAAGTCTATGCAGCTGTGAATAAAATGTCACATTATAAACAAGATGAACAATGATCAACCAATGGCTGAAAACTGACAGGAATTTCAGAAAGTTTTCATCAATCTTGAATATTATATTGCAGCATGTGGGCAGACACACATCATACAGAACAGGATACAGAAGTACAGGATCTCACAGCTCTCCAAGTATACATCAACAACCCTCTACATATGCGACTAAATCTTCACTCTGGCGACTAAATGATGTCTAAAAAAAAGCACCACCACCAGTCCGAAGTTCAGTTAAAATGACTAATATGCATTCATGCATGGTTATCAAGTTTTAATTCTAATTACAAAAGTTCTATCATTAAATAACATTGATTATCATATTATAATGCTTGACTGACTGTATGTGTGTATATGTGTGTGTGTGTATGTGTGTGTGTGTGTATGTGTATGTGTGTGTGTATGTGTATGTGTATGTGTGTGTGTGTGTATATATATGTTTGTGTGTATATGTGTGTATGTATGTGTGTGTGTGTATATGGGTGTATAATATGTATGTGTGTGTATATATGTATATGTGTATGTATATATTTATCAGTCTGGCGAGTAAACAAAAAAATTTACTAGCCAATGGCGATTCAATTGCCAAGGTGTTCGTAGAGGGCTGATCAATTATCCTCAGTGTCTGCGGTGTCTTTTGTGCTTCTCTCATTCTTTCACATTTATGCATTTGGCTGATGCTTTTATTTAAATAGACCTACACTGCATTCAAAGTACACAGTTCATGTATTCCCTGAGAATCGAACCCATGACCATGGCGTCGCTCGCACCATGCTATACGGCTGGGGTGTACTTAAGAGCTTAAAGGAAAAAACAGGGCAAACATGTAATAATAAATAAATTATAAAGAATAAGATTAAACTAACTAAATAAAAAAAGATTAAACATATTAAAAATAAGTTGGATTAAAATAATAAATATATATATATATTTAAAAAATTGGTTTATCCAAAAAGGCCTACACTGCATTCAAAGCACAAAGTTCATGTATCCCCAATAATAAAATAATATATTTTTTATTAAATATTAAAATAATACAAAAGTATCAATATAATTTTAAAATAATAAAAAAATTGATTTAAATAAAAATATCAAACAGTACAGTACTATAGTGAGTAGTGAAAACAATTTTAATAACGTAATGTTAGAGATACTGTATATATTAGGTCTTTATACATGATAATAAATAGCTGTCTTTTAAATTTTTAAATGATTGCATTTGGACTGCAGCACTTTCTCAAGTTCACTAAGCTAAATTTGAGTAAAACCCAAGTTAAACTTTTTAACCACAAACTAAAATAAATACTTTTTAACACAATTTTGTGTTAAATCGGAGCTCACATGCAAATATCACAGTCTACAGAAGTAATGTTTGTTGACGTCCTCCACTCCAGTAACGCCAGTGCAAACACAGATTTTCCAGCGCTGCCATTCACACTCACCCAGACACTTGTGGTGACCCGACAGCCGGTATCCGTGACGACAGGAGCAGTGGTAACTGCCCATGGTGTTATTACAGTCATGCTCACAGCCGCCGTTCCCTCTGCTGCACTCATCTACATCTGCAAACCACAAACACACAAGTGCACCGTTAACCAATCAGGAAGAGCTCGGGTGATTGGCTGGAGCTGCGCTGGTGGGCGGAGCTCTGGACGTTCTGGCAGAAAGTCGCTCACACTTTACTCTGAACATGAAGAGGATGTGAATGAATCATCAGAGACATGAATGCGGCTCTGTGCTGCAACTGACGCTCCTTCATCGGGTTCAGTGACTCACAGCGGATCAGTGCTGAAGAGAAACTACATTAAAAACCATCTACAAAAACCAACTACATTAAAAACCATCTGCAGTTGCTATGGTCTTCTGAGTGATTGCCAGGGTGTTGCTATGTGGTTACTGAATTGTTCTAATTTGCTGCTATATGGTTGTTCTAATTGGTTGTTAACTCACTGCTGTGCAGTGTCTAGAGTCTTCTGAGTGATTGCTAAGGAGTTCTAATTTGTTGCTATGTAGTTTCTAGTGTGTTCCGGGTGATTATCCTAACAACCATATACCAATGGGTGTTGCTACATGGTTGCTAAGGTGTACTAACTGGTCCCCATGTTACTATGTAGTTACTAGGGTGTTCTGAGTGATTGCCAAGGTGTTCTGAATATTTGTTATTTAGAACAGTCTTTTTGTTTTGTGTTTACTGAGGTGTTCTGAGTGATTGCTAGGGTACTGCAATGTGGTTGCTAAGGCAGTGTACTTTGTTGCTGTGTGGTTACTAATTTATTCTGGGTGATTGCAAGGGTATTGCCATGTGGTTGCTAAGGTGGTCTAATTTGTTGCTACGTGGTTGCTAAGGTGTTCTAATTGGTTTTAACATGCAGTTGCTAGGGTGTTCTGGCCGATTCCCATGGTATTGCTATGTGGTTACTAAGGAGATGTAATTTGTTGCTATACAGTTGCGATGTGTTGCTAAAATGTTCTAATTGGTTGCTATGTGGTTGCTAGGGTGTTCTGGGAGATCACCCTTACAACAGTATAACAACAATTGTTGGTATGTAGTTGCTAAGCTGTTCTAATTGGTTGTGATCACACCGCTATGCGGTTGCTGGGGTGTTGTGGGTATTGCTATGTGGTCGCTAGGGTGTTGCAGGTGGTTTCTAGGGCATTAAAATGTGGCGCTAAGATATTCTGAGTAGTTGTTTGCACACTGGTAGGAAATTGCTATAGCATCACTAGATGGTTGCTAAGGTGTTCTAATTACTCTTAACTTAGAAAACAATACTGACACTAGCATTCTAAATGTTCCCTGCATAATACACTGCTCAGCTTATGCTAACTCAGACACTGCTCCAGAACATGATGGATGATCCTGCAAGGTTCAACATCTACTAGCACAACCTGTGCTACTATAGACCATATGTAGCTCTGCCCCTTTTCAGCGTTGAGTTGTCTTCTGTGTTCCAGTATATATTTCCACAGCATGAAGGTCGCACAAATTTATGAATGAAGCGCTCATTTTAAGATCTTCCTGGTCTATTGGCATTTGTTATGACATCTGCTTTGAACATTACAATGCACACGATAACTTTTGTTAACTCTACAACTCCACTTCACCAGCTAATTACTCTCCAAGAGCTTTAAAGTGCTGGAAATAGTTGTGTGAAATACTTGAAAGTCACTGAAAAGTGCTTGAATTTCTCTCTCAAAAGGTTGTACAAACCCTAAAACTCTTTCTGCCACAACAGCATGGTTATATTTAATGTTTCTACTTCTGGTTTTCTGCGTTAGTGCTGTTTGATCTATTTATAACAGAGAATTCTTGAATGCTTTTGAATTTGAATGCTTCTCTCTAGATCTGGATCTCACAGCACTGTGCAGTAACAGTGTCGCGAGATCAACCTGTTTCCGAGTAAACCTGTTCTGAACCAGACCAGTTTGCTTGTGCTGCGCTCAATTATTGGTCAGAGCTGATAAACGGTCCGTGCTGCCAGGGGCACCTTAAGATGACCAGAGGCCCCTGGGCTACAGCATTACATTAGCACCCCCCCCCACCCTAGATATATATATTTTTTAGCTTCCTGACAATTGTCGAATTTCTAATTTTTCTTGTTGACATGCCAGTTAACATTTACAGCACTGTTCTGCTCAAAATATAAATGTAAGTGAATATGCAAATTCACTCTTTGCCAGAAGGTGGCGCTTGTGGAGCAGCAGAATTATAGCCTTTACTTAATAAAGTAAACACTACGTTATTACAGGCATTATACGGAGGTAATAGCATAAAGACATGTATACAGAATAGCTCTCGTGCTAGGCTTCTTTACTAGCGCACTGTGCATTCCGCTCACAGTATATTGGTGGAACATACCAACTACACAAACACGAGTGTGGGGGAAACCTAAACTGAACCATTGACGGCATACTACAAGCAGGGCGTCGCTGATAATGAGTGTGTGAGTTTGTTTACAGAATGCTGTTGTCACTGCTGCAAACTCTCATATTTACAAATAATTCTTTGAAAACTATAATTTACCTGCAGCCAGTAGGCCCCTCCCAAGTGTAGGCCCCTGGGCTTAAGGCCCCGCCCTGCGCAGCTCAAACGAGTAGCGCGGTTTAGTTACGCTTTTATTTCGTTTGCCGTTTAATGTTTCTCATATGCAACAGAAATGGCAGTGCTTATGAGTTGGGCAACGCGATGGTCGCATCAGTGTGACTGCTCACAAAATGTTGTTTTCGCGCCGCCAGAAAAAATAGGTTGCAGTCTGGAGCCCTGATGCATCATCTGATATGAGCACAGGTCAGCAGAAGAGCAGCAAGGACAGGAAGTGCTGCATCACAGCATCAGTTTCCATTCACATCTCCAATGACATTCAGAGCAAATCATCAGGAACAATAAGTTATTACAGCAACACTCTGTGACGACAGATCGAAATGTTACAGATGATAAAACGCGACATCTTCAAAAAAATCTAGGCACATGTGTAAGGCTCTCAGAAATGCAATCTTTGAGAATATGAAATATGAAACCATAAAGGAGGTGTTCAGATACTGTCTGTATGAATTGCATTTTCACTTAGTTTTTAATTAAATGAGCAGATCCAGAGAATAATATGCACCACTATCTTTAACCTGAATGCATGTTTCTGAAGAGCTGATGTGTGTTTGTACCTTTCTCACACCTGACGCCACTCCATCCCATGAAACAATGACATTGGAATTCGCCCTTTTTGTCCTCACAGCGCACCGTCCCGTAATGATTGCAGGGGTTCGGGGAACACTGGTCTGGAATGTCTGTGGGACAGACAGAGAGAGAGAGAGAGAGAGAGAGAGATCATCATCATCAACAGTAAAACCACAATGAGTCACAAAACACATTCTGCTTCTCTAATGTGATGTTTGAAACACATCAGATATGAAATCCTATAACTGTATGCTTTTTCCTGTAGCTGTAACCTTCATCACATTACATTTACATTACATTTATTCATTTAGCAGACACTTTTATCCAAAGCTTATATACAAATTATGAATACAACAAGGCAAGCGATTCATCATAGAGACAATAAACACGAGAAGTGCTAGTAATACAAAGTTTCAGACATAGTTATCCAGCATTAAATGTCTGTGTGAACTTCTTCATGATTTTTAGAAAAGCTGCACCACTACAACAGCAGCCTATTAGGTAACACTTTACAATAAGGTTTTAAAACCATTTGTTTTAAAACCACCTCTAAATAATTTATTAATCTTAATGTTAATTTCAACATTTACTAATACATTATTCAAATCAAAAGTTTCATCTGATAATATTATTTGATGTCCCTGAGCTAACATGAACTGCAACTGACATTGAACAGTTGTATTTTTATGAATTAATGTTAACAAAGATTAAAAATACTGTGACAAACGTATTGCACAACATACACGCTTAGGACTTCGGAACCTCAACATATGTGTCATGTAATAATGTCAAGTCACCTTTATTTGTATAGCGCTTTATACAATACTGGTTGTGTCAAAGCAGCTTTACAGTGTCAAACAGGAAAATAGTTTTTTAATAATGCAAGAAGACAATAACAAAGAGTCATTTTTCCCGGCTAAAGTCAGTTCATTGATGATTCAGTGATGTCATCATCCAGTTCAGTTCTCTTCCAATAGAGTCTGTGCAATCAGTCAAGCGTCCCCAACTAAGCAAGCCAAAGGCTACAGTGACAAGGAACCAAAACTCCATACTCAATATTATTAAGCATACATACATACATTATAATAATGGCGTGTACATTTGCTTTTTCCATATATTTTATAATTGTATAACACACTGGTCAACTGACTGTTGTTTTTAATTCTGTTTTATGGTAAAAATAAATTGCCTTGCCTTATTCATTGTTTGTTAATATTAGTTGTATCTCGTTAGAAGTGAGCTCCGCGCATGAACTGTGTTCCGATTGACATGGTCCCTACACAGTGTCCATTGCTTCCTACTCACTGAGCAGGGGAAATTCGTTGAAGTTTACTTCACTTCGGAATATTCATTAACAGATTTGCGCTGCGCCGCTGCCTGCAGCGTCTTCACACACATACGAAACTTACTAGAGAAGCGTGAAGTGGGACATAATATACCTCTGTAAATAAATACAATTTAAATTCACGTCTCGCACACTTAAAATTGCCCTTTGTATGGATTCTATGGAACATATACGCTCCCTTCAAACTGGAATCATGGCGGAATATCCGGTAATGTCCACTTCGCAGGGCACTTACAGTCAAATATAACAAACGTCTGAAGCAATAAGAGAAACATACAAAAGGTGCAGAGCAGGGGTACGCGAGGACTGGAATTGAGAACCGCTGGTCTAGATGATGTCAGCTGAAAATGCAAGTCATTTCAGAGGTGGAGTAAGTTATTTCATTCAGCTGAAAGATTATGAGAACATTAGTTTTTCTTTATAAAAATGTCACTGATGAATAATTCAAAATATAGAACATGAATTAAAACAGTAAATAGAGTCAGTGTTGATCATTGTTGTGTTGAGAGTCTTTCAGCTCTTTACAACTCTGGTTGTCTCGGATGCGTTTGCTGACGGCACGTCCGACCACAGAGGAGAGAGACAGGACGAGCCCAGAGATGCAGCATCTCTCTCTGACTCAGGGCTTCTGCTGGACCCAGACCGGCCAATCACAGCGCAGCACGAGGCAGCCTCTGAATCAGCAGAAATGAGTAGAGCAGGACGAGCCTCCAGCAGACGTCATGAAGATCGTCACACACACACCCACCAGAGGGGCTTCACTCATTCAGATGCTCACACACGCTTCATTTACTGAGCGACGGGATGAGAACGAGAAGAGCGAGATGTTCAGATGCAAGAACAATCTCACCATGAGCTCTTTATGAAGATATATACACAGATCACTGCAGCACTGAACACCACACACTGACAGAGAGAACGATAGACAGACAGATGGATAAAATGAGAGAATGACAGACAGACAGGTAGACAGATAGATAGAAAAGGATAGATAGACAGATTGATAAATAGACAGATGGATAGGTAGACAGAAAGACAGGCAGACAGAGAGAGAGACAGAACAAATGACAAAATAGATCGATGTACAGACAGACAGACAGGTGTGTGGTCACTCACTGTGGACGCAGGTGATCAGATCCTGTTTCTTCTTCTCAGAGTCTCCAAACTTCTCCATACATGCTAGTGCATTCAAGAGAATCAAACATCTCCATCAGGAACTGCAGATGATTCAGCAAATCATCAATTCAGAATATATATGAAATCATTCTAACCTTCATTACAAAACAATCACAACACATAGAAAAGAGCTAAAACACTGCAGGAGACTCACCCTGATACTTTGGGTAGAAATATTCCTATAAAAGACAAGAAGTCATGATGAGAAATGACTGATTATGAACAGTATAACATGTTTTGCTCATGAATGAAGGTGAAGACACATGAGAACTGCACAGACGGTCCATGACTGATGACTGTTTCAGATGTGTTCCTGTCCTGACATGTCGTGCTCATATTTTGTCTTACATCAGGGTGGATAATGCGTCTTGTCTCATGTTTCTGAGATGGAATGAAAGGACACACACACACACATACTCACACTGCAGAGATGTGAGGTGGAGTAAAACTACAGAAGACTTCAGTCTGATTGTGTACATTAATCTCCCTGGAGTATTTAATACAAAAGCATTAATGAGAGCAAATTATTAGATGTGTGACCCCAGTGACCCCTGACGTCTTCACATGAGTTCCAAGCTAATTGATGTCACGTCCTCTGTGCATTAAAGTCCCGCAGCCCTTAAACTAGCTTCACTGTCCCGCATGCAGTGACTCTGGGTAACTTGGTAACCAGCATGCTGACTCACTCACATACACTGCAGTGAGAAATCTGCAGCGTCAGAGAAGCAGGTCGCACATGCTGCCACTGAATAATGCATGCAGGGAGTGGAAATCCGACATCTCTGACACGCTGCACGCAAACCTCACAGAACGACCTTCTTCACATCTCCTTGATTCACCTCGCCTCATTTTCTCTCGTTTTGTTCTCAGGAGAGATAGTCATGTGTCTGCAGTTGATTCCAGAATTTCTCATGGTCAAGCTAATAATAGAAAGTATTAGACCGCTGATGTCATCATAATCTTTCATGCTTCCCAAACATCCCCAATCCTTATTTACAGACCAACGGGATTAAATCTAATCAGCACATTCACGAGAATGACGCGTCAGACATGCGCCGCCACACAGGAATTTATTTTGTATCAAAAACACATTCCAGGCTCAGCAGTCAGTCAAAGCAGTGACAGGCCCCTCAGGGACCAATCAGAAAGCACACAGACCGGCTCATTTGCATATCAGCTCCCAGAGGAGAACAGTCTGTGGTTGAGGAATCATATTCATGCTGGGTTATTGATGTGAATCAGGTGCAGTGCACTGACTCATGGGAATACATCACAGTAATAATAGCATCAATGCAGGATGCAATGATGGAAAGAACTTATGTTTCACCTTTATATATTCATAATAGTATTGGTTGATATACTTCATTCTCATATCGTCCTATGGTCAGACTGTGAGATCGCCAATACATATTATCATGCTAATTTATTTAATTATTTTTATAGTTAGTTACATAGTTCATAAACTCAAGGAATCGTGTTTTATTGGTTATAACGCGCGACTGTAAAAACGCGTAAAAAGAAATGATGGAATAAATAACCCCTAATATTAATTGGATAATAATACTAGCCTGATATTAATAATAATATTAGTCTTGATGTCGTCAAAGGCATCAGCCACAGGCGATCGTCTATCGGCACACCCAATTCATAATATTATTACATATTCACACAAATTGAACACTATAATGTTTATTCAGCAGTTTGTTTGGAAACAGTCAATGACTAAGAACAACTAGAAAACAGGGAGTTTGTAAGACAATCAGGACAATTATCTGTTGATTAATTAGGGTTCATGATTATGTATGAGTTCTAATGACTTTACAACCACTTTATTTCACTGATAAAGCAGCTTTAAAGACAGATGCTCTATAAATGTGACAGCCTCCCTGTCAAATGGACCACTGCAGCCCTACAACAGACTAGCCTATATAGTGCATACTAACTAGGGAGCAGCACAGAATTATTACAGGTCAATGAGGATGAAAGATCAAATCAAACATTAGCTGGAATCGAGTGCATCGACTAAACCGACTAATAGCGGCAGCAGCGAACTCTAACTAGTTAGTGAGCATCATAGAGTGCACACTAACTAGGAGCGGCACAGGATCAATACAGGTTGAAGAGGATAAAAGATGACAGATGATCGTATCAAACATCAGCTGGAATCCAGCGCATCTATTAAACCGAATATTAGCGGCAGCAAATTTTGTAATACTCTTACCGTCTCGGGGTCATTCTCAAACACTTCTCTCGCCTCCTCTTTAGTGCATCTCTCCTCCACACACTCCCTCTCCAGATGACCCTGCTTGGTCTCCTCGAACACCTGGTTCGCCCTCCGGTGTCTACGGAGAAACTCGTTCGCCTCCCTCGGCGACACGGACACTGAAAACAGCAAAAACTCTCAACTTCTGCGTCAGGATGATCTGATCACACTAGTTAGTGCGGCACTGCACGGGAATAACGACTTGTTTCGCGTACTTACACTGTGAGGAGCAGCCAATACACAGCAGGACGAAGCAGCAGCTCGACACAAACTCTCTCATGTTGATTCTGCGTCAAACTTTCGCTCGTTCTGGATCAGAATCCTGCACATTCAAACGAGAACTCAAGCGTTTCTGCAGCACATTCAACCTTCCTCTCTCTCTCTCTCTCTCTCTCTCTCTCGTGCACTATTTTGCCCTCGGCTCCTCTCTCTCTCTCTCTCTCTCTCACCAAACGTAAGCGGCAGATTCGTCGGTTTATTGGTGAAAGTTGCAGCGCGTTCAGGGAGTTCCCGATGCAGAATTTTTCTCCGCAAGAGCGGATCACTGCAGTACATACTACATAAGCACTGGGAAAAGATCCATTTAAAGCGATAGATCACCGAGAAAACATACAAAAGCAAATATTATCATCATTTACTCGCCCTCATCATGTCCTTCAAACCTCTATGACTTTCTGTTTCAGTTGAACACAAATGGAGAAGCTTAGAAGAATGTTCAGGCTGCTCTGCATCATACAACGACTGAATTTGGACTAGAGCTGTTGAGCTTTAAACAAGGATAAAATGTACCATAAAAATATCATAACAGACTTCTGAAGAAACACAGACTGAATTTAAGTTATTTTTAAATCTCATCACCCATATGCATATTCAGACTTAGCATTAGACCAGGGGTGCCCAAGCTAGGTCCTGGAGGGCCGGTGTCCTGCAGAGTTTAGCTCCAACCCCAATTAAACACACCTGAACCAGCTAATCAAGCTCTTACTAGACATACTAGAAACTTTGTAGCAGGTGTGTCCCTCCAGGACCGAGTTTGGGCACCCCTGCATTAGACCATTAAATCTCACAAGATTAACCCTAGCCCTAAAACTTTAGGTATGTCCCAATTCACAGATTTATGCACTTCTATGCCATTTTGTAGTATAAATAGTGTGAGTAGTGTGTTTACACTGACAATTCCAACAAGAACTGCACTTTTAATAGCCGGTGAATGCACTTATTTAACTAAAAAAAACAAAGTGTGGAATATTAAAAAGTTAATGCACTACAGTTGCATTGCAAAATGCGAATGACAAAATAACCAAAAATTCAGAGACGGCCCAGATAACAGTGAACATTCTCAGAACTTTGGCTAATGTTCTAGCAACAAATTTTCTTCCATAACAATAATAGAAAGTTATCAGGTCTTTCATACATTTCTCAAAACAGCACAAAAACCTTCCTGGAACCAGAGGCGTCATGCCCATTCAGATTTCTGAGCCAAGTGCATTTTGAATGCAGCTTCCAAAAGACAAAAATAGCCGAATAATATTTTTTTATATTTGATACAATCGCACGGGTGTGATTAGAACGCTCAGTGTGGCACAGCATCAGCTGCTAAATTCAAATCTGCGTTTGCTGGCTGGCGCTGAGACAGAGACAGACGCGTTTTTACAGCACTGCGCATTATAACCAATCACCCACGATTCTGCTGAGCTTATGAATGCAATGACCAATCAGAGACGTTCAGATGAGTCATCGCTGAAACGCGGTGTTTTGCTCTCATCAGAAACAACAAAGTTTAATGGGAGTTTTTGAGAGTGCCTCTGGCTAGACTGAATGAAAATGTTCTTTGCTCTCTGTAAAATGAAAGTGTTATAATTATTAACTCACAATATTGTTATTAAATTCACATTAAATGCAAAGTCAGTCGTATTAAAAATATTTTATAGCATGACACCCATATCTGGTAGCCTACTTAAGTAAAAAGTCGGGTTTTTATGTGTAGTTAATATATTACACTATTAGTCTACTTTGCCCATCACCATTGATCAAATAAAATAATCTATAAAGGTGCAAAACGCATTTACTTATGTTGGCACAGCCATTTTGCGTATAATAACCGGTAAATTATATTTATTTATACGGAGGGAAAACCATGCTCACTACTCGGTATGCTGATGAACCGGAAATTACACTATTAGTCTACTTTGCCCATCACCATTGATCAAATAAAATAATCTATAAAGGTGCAAAACGCATTTACTTACACATATTAGAGAATCGAGATATTTCCAGATATAGGCTAGTTAACACGTTTGGAAATATTTCGAATAAAAAGAAAAAATAAATAAATAAAACATAAGCCTATGATCAACTTTTTAAACATTTTTAAATGTTAAATGTTTTTTTTTTTAAAGTTTTATAATGCTAGGACAAAACATTCTTACAATTTATTAATATCTGATATACATTTTCATAACATTAAAAGAAAACATTCGTAGAATATTAAAAATAAACATTCAAATAATGTTATATTTGGGGTGAAAAAGTTAGCAGAACATTGTAAGAAGTGCTTTTGTAACCTTTAAATAACATTATAATCACAACAAGAAAACTGGACATTTCAACGTTTTAGAAACATTTTAAAACAATTTTCCCACAACATTTTTCCAACCTAACTTTGTTACCTGGGTAAATGTTACTACTTCAGAGAACATTCAAAAGTAATGTTTCCATAACGTTTGCAAAATGATAAAAGGGAATGTTCCCTTAATGTTTGCATAACAAAAAAAGAGTTCTTAAAACATTTAAAAAACTGGATGCTTTGAAGTTTCAGAGAACATTAGAATTGAATAACGTTTTCATAACTTGATGGGAACGCTAACAAAACATTCTTAGAACATATTTTTGTAAGCTGGGATTGTACATAGTGCATAGTATTAGTGCATAGTGTGTAGTGGCACACAATTTATCATTCACACTGTCTACACACTGAATGCACAATCACAATCAGGTTCTAAGCCACTGAGTTCTAAACTGTGTCGCAATCAAGTGGTTTCCCATCATGCTTTTTGTTTGCTCACTATTTGGCACGAATCAGCATGACATCACAGCAGTTGCATGTTATTTCTGTACCTGGCCATGATGGTTCTGGGTAGGGCTGGTTTATCTGAGATGTGCGATTGCGACACACAGAGTGAGATTTGAAAGTGAACATTTCCAGTGAAACATCTGCTGAGTTCCACAGAATGTTGACAGAACTTTCAGTTTTGGGTGAACTGTTACTTTAAGTATGAGTTCATGACACGATTGTTGATTTGCAGGATTGTCATCAGGAAAGGTACCAAATAATGTCCTCTATGCTATGATCTACACTTGTGCCAGGACACATGAATTTTAATAGCAGCACTGTAGATTTGGCCAATTAAACCTATAAAGTCGACTGTATCACATTTGATAATGAATTTCTAAGGCCTCTAAATGATCAACATGATCAAAACTTTCGCACAAACAATCTACTACATGCCTTCTTTCGTCTGATTGATAGTTTATACTTTTTAGCAGGTAGTATAATTGTACAGACATTCACATTCAGCTTGTGGTTCACGTCTTTTTTTGGAGTTCTAAGTATTCTAAGTATATCAGACTATATGAGCTATAGAAGCCTGATCTATGAAATACGATACAAAACAAAAAACATGCAACATTTTTTGATTTTGTCTAAGGGTTTGATTTAAAAAAACAATTTTTGATTTTTTTTTTTTCCCTTTAATTTAATGTCAGGCTTTATTGGGTTAAAGTATGTCTCATGAGGTCTTTATAGAGCCATGGTCATTATGTTAAGATATAAGCATTTTTAAAAATCTGTTTTTTTTCTTCTTAATGTCCATTTGTAAAGTTTCTGTGAGTCTGACAGTGAAATCTCTCTGTTTTAGTGAAGGCAGACCTACATTCTAATCAGGCTGTTTGTTGATTTGACAGTGATTTTCCTGTCTGTGTTCTTATGGCTCAAATGTGAGGTTACATTCTTCTCCTGCAGCTGTTTTCTCAGTGTTTACTTCGCTCGCTCTCCTCTTGTTTTTCTGAGCCAGTGTTTTCATTCTCTGTTCCTCCCTCCCGTTTCCCGTCTGTTTCTTTATGCAACATTGAGGCCAGGTCACCCATGTCCATCTGTAAAACACACTGTATATCTCATGTCAGAAATATAACAGAGATGTAGATCCAGTGTCTGGTGTTTGAGCACTGTCAAATGAAAACATTTCACTCTTCCACCTCTACACTGCACAAAAAAAGCCAAAAGTAGAACATTTTCTAATAATAACCGCAGATTTCAGACGGTCAGGGAAATTAATCTAAACAACTCAGTCACTACTAAACTGGCATTATTTAACATAAAAAGATAAATATCACACTCACAAAGAAAAACAGAAATATATAGAATATATAAATTATAGAATATAGAATTATAGAAAATATACAAACAGTATAGACTTAACTTGATATAGAATTATAGAAAAATACAGAAATGGAACTACATATAGAATAAAAAATACAGAAATAGAACTAGACAGAAGTATAGAAAAATATAGAAATAGAACTAAATGTAGAAGTATAGAAAAAATATAGAAAGAACTAGATATAGAAATACAGAGAAATATAGAAATAGATCTAGATATACAAGTATAGAAAAATTTTGAATTATAGAAAAATATATAAATAGAACTAGATATAGAAGCACAGAGAAATACAAATATAGAAATTTCCTCAGAACCACATATTGTATATGTGAAAAGTAGGCAGTAATTAAACAGTTAAACACTCTCATTCGTGTCTAAGATGGGATTTTGCTTCTTAAGAAGGTGAGATTTGCATTTGCATGATGACGACGACGACAACAACAAGCTGCATTTCATGTTTTATTACAACAATTAATGCGGCACTAGTGTTCAATATCCACCTAAACATATTCACATCACATTCAAATTAGTGTGTTATATATACAAGACACAAACTGACGGCTCTATACTGCGAGTAAAAACCTGATTAAAGACACACGTCAGGAATAAAAATACTGGAATGAATATGTGTGGCATCTTTAAATAGAGGCTCATGAGCTTCTGAAGCTCTTTCACAGGTTAGTCATCAGTCAACTAATGAGTGGATCAATTAAAAACACAAAGAAACATCACAGGTCAAGCTTTCTCTCTCCGTCTCCTGCTGAACCCAGAATCAGGACATCGCATCATGTGTTTGACAGGAACTCACAGACAGACGCAGCCGGTCAGGTGTCCCTGCATTAGGCTGTGATGTCATTTCCTGTCTAGCGCGGCTGGGATTCAGCGGACGGAGGGTCTGGGGCGGAAACAGGAGGACAGGAGTGAGACTTGATGCTGTTGTCTTTGCTAACAGCCTCGTCGAAATCCAGCTGCTGTCCGTTCACACTGATCTCCAGACAGCCGTGGTAGAATGCAGAGATGGGAGTGACGGACAGCGGGAGATCTGCACACATACAGAGCCAGGGAACATGACATGATGCCAGGGATCATTGGAAAAAACACACTTTCTCGGTTCATTCTAAAAAGGACCTTATTTAAAGGGGTCATGAAATGGAGAATCTAAATGTTCTTTATATTTAAAAGCATTTTATTCAAACATACACAGCTATCTATCTATCAGTGCTTGCCCTCTTGAGTATCAAAACACACAACATGCTATAAATG